TCAATCTGCTGCTCAGCATGATCAGATTGACTTCAATCTTGCTTTTTCATCTGTCAATGTTGCCTGTAATGAGAAGAGTTTAGTTTAAAGTTATGGATCAACCAGTGTCACCACTATATAAAAAGGTTTCTCCTCAATGCCTTTAAAACGCTTATCCAATGATTTGATTAAAATTGACTTCATAATCTTTACACCTGCATTATCGTGTATCTTACTTTCAGAATTTTTGTTGCGTTGTTGTTTGAAATTAGACTTAGCTAATTAAATTGTAAAGAAATGTAAATACAGATACCAAAACAAACATGAAGTTTATAAAACTACTAAAAAATTGATTTGTAAAAATAAAATATTAAGTATACATGTTATCACAGGCAAGAAAGATGTAAAAAATATCTGACCAAAATTCAGAAATCCGGCCAAAATTATGCCGGATTCGCTAACATTTTGCCAGAGCCGGATTTGGGCCGGATTTTTAAAAATGGTTGGATTTTAGCCAGAGCAGGAGTTGGAGCCGAAATTCGGTACAGCTCTAGTTTTGAAGAATGCTTTTCAAAAAGAACGGATTCCTGGAATTAGTTTTTGAGTAACGAAGTTAGGAACTGGTTCCTTTTAAAATAACGGAATGAGAAAAGAGAACGAATTCTTTTTTTGAAAGAATGTGAACAAAAAGTAATAGTTCCAAAACCTTTTTAAATTAGGATTTCACTAAAGTTGTTTTTATGGTTCAAAAGCTAAAAGCGTTGTATTAAGATCATGTCAAATGTTTAGTTTCAGTTAGCCAACAGCCGTAGCTACAAACTTTTAAACTAGTAAAGTTCAGAATTAGTTAATATTTAGTTGGCTATATATAATAAATTTTAAACTATATTAGTTACCAATATAGTTTTAAAGTTAGCACATGTAGCCAGATTTTTATACTGTATACCTTTTGTACTGAGTTGAAATTAATATATCATTTATATGTGTATAAAGTACATACTGATGCAGACTAGGCCGGCAGGATACCAGAAATGTTTAAAAACTATTTAAAATAAATAACTGAATGAAACACGTTAATAAAACATTGCTTGCCAAGCAAAACAATAAACTACTACTGCAATTTTTAAAATAAAAAATATGTATCAAAATAGAAACAATTTTTGACGAATGTGGAGCGTTCCTTTTTTGGACTAAAGAACAAGGAATTGGAACTAGTTCTTATTTTACAAAATGAATAGGGAACGGAACAAGATCCTTTAAAAAATGAACTTTCCAATCACTGATATATATATATATATATATATATATATATATATATATATATATATATATATATATATATATATATATATATATATATCAGCATTCAAAATAGCGGCCAATCAACGATCAATGATTGTCTGCTTTTGAAAAAAATGATATTTTGATCTCCCAAAATTAATTCTGGACGATCAAATTTGATCATCAAGAATTGCATATCAAACTTTATAGCAATAATTCAAAAACATATTTAAACAAACGTCACAAAAATCTTCAAAAGACAAAAGTAAAATATCGACACCAAAACATTAAAAGTAAAACAACTGTTAAAAAGGTATTACAAAATTTATATAAACAAAAAGTTTATTACACGTTAATAAACTATTTTGAAGGAAATGAATTTTTTTTTAATGAATCTAATTTGCATTATTATTTAGAAACAAAGTTTCATGTGAAAAATTTTGAAAAATAGTAAATAATGCAAGTTTATGATTGGTACAAAGAATGTTGACTTCATAAAGCATTATAATGTTTTAAGCAAAATAAAATTGTTTTTGTTTAAAATTATTAGAAAATAAGTTTTAGAAGTAAAATTATATAAAAAGTACTAAAATAATCATAAAATAAATGCGAGAAAAAGCAACAGAAAATTATTTCTTTGAAAAGGAAATCAGGATCTGAAACACTTGCTAAGAATAAAGTAAAAGTTTACGAAAAAAAGTTACAATTACAAACAGTATTTTGTTTATTTTTTAAATAAAAACTCTTGCGTTAAAATTTTAATGAATAAATATTTTCTTAAAAGTTCCCAATATTTCTTGTTTTTTTTTTTTTTAAAAAGACTATCATTTTTTTTAGTAAAAAAAGTTCAATCATTAATATTAGAAAAGCCATTTTTATTGCGTAGAAAGCAAGAGAAAAAAACATTTTTTCAATTTTGAATTAATGATATACTTTGATTTAATTTGTGTGTTTTTTTCAATTTTTATAACTTTGAGTTTGAAATAACAAACTTTGAGTTTGAAAAACATTGAATGAATTTGCATATTTTTGTCAATTTTAAATATTTTCACTAAACAATCGTTTATGATGTTGCAAACAGTCGCTTAGTTTAAACTAAATGAATGTAAAAAATATATTTTATATTATAAATATAATAAAAATATTTATATTATAAATGTAACAAAAATATTTTGTAATATAAATATAAAAAAGATAATCATAAATGGACGAGATATTCCTAACAAAAATCTTAAAGTTAATGACAATCTATAATGTGCTAAAAATATCTTAAGGTGATTAGAAAATAATTTTTCTTTAACATTTTGAAAGATTGATTTTGCATAATCAAATGACGAATCAAAAGTTAACTTGATCAACTTAATTAATTTCTTATTTTTTAATTTTTATGATAAGTTATATAGTATATACATAATAACTTATCATAAATTATGATAAGACAGACAACTGTCTGGCTTGAGTATAAAAAAAAAAAAATTTTATACTCAAAAATTTCTTTATCTTTACTTGTGACCAAATTGACAAAACCTTTTTCTATACACCTCATCTAATATTGTTATTAGTAGCTTTAATGCATATCACGCTGAAGCGCTTGCTTTTAGGAAGACTGATCCTAATGGCACGAAAGCTAAAAGGTGTCTTTCTCAATTTCATACTTTCATATTAAACTGTGTGACTTGTTTTTTAGACAACTAATTAGTTAAACTAAAAAGTTTCTCATTGTTCTTCTTGGTGGTTCAGATGCTAAAACTTTTATTTCATAACTCTACACCATATTCATCCTATCATCGCACTTTTTACTACTGCATTAAAACTAACTAGGAACTTTTTTATTTTTTTTTGGAGATGGTCCTTAGAATGATGTAATTTGTCTTTCTGCTGAAAATTTTGTCTACTTTATAAACTAGTTTAAAATTTGGACTTAAAGGCTTTTATTCCTTCTTGCTAGTTTTAAGTCTCACTTTACTTAAAACATAAAGGACTCTCAAAACTATTTAACAAGTGCTAATTAAATTTTGTTTTCCTGCCAAATATAAAATAACATTTGTGGTTCTAATTTAAAAAACTATAGAGATTGCTTTAAATACTTATCCTAATTCAGTTTTCAGCAAAATATTTGAATCTAAAATTACTTTAAATATCTCATCTTAAGGACTTACTCTTTTATAAACAATACAAATTTTGATTGTCGGGTCTAATCATTATATTTCAACCAATGGCATGTGGGACACCATCTCTGATTTTTACATATCATTATCTACATTATGTATATAGGTTAAATTTGAAATTTCAGACTTTCAAGTGTAACAATTCAGAAAATATAGCTTTATAAATACTGCACAGTAGCCCCCCTTGATTTAAGAATTGTTAAAAACAGACTACTTTAAAACCTTTAAAAACTTTTTTTTAACTTTCAACAAGTCTCTAACTTTTTCTAGAAGTGTTTTCTGGGTAGTTCTGTATTAAAAATACTGGTTTTTGTTAACTTGTATTATATTAGAAAAAGATTATAGCCTCCTTAACTTTGAAAAAAATTAAAATGATGCTAAAAAAGGACAAAATGAAGTTAACTGTAGTATTTTTTTATTCATCAACAAGTCCTACTGGTTTGATTTTCTGATTAGCTACTATTATCTGCAACAAACAGGCAACAAGCAAGCCACTTGTTGCAGTTTAGAACTGAAATATATCTAAAAATGTTTTGTCCATTTGCCAAAAAAGTCCCATTTTCAGCCATTTTGAAATACTCATAATTTTTACTAACACTTTACATTGATCTAATCTTAACACCAATTAAGACCATAAGATCCAACTATCTGAAAATGCCAACATTTTTTACTTGTTGAATTAAAAACAAAAATAACAGCATTTTAAAGTAACCTAAATTTTTAATTATCTAGGGTTGGATGCATTATTAGAAACCAGTGTTGTCCCCCCCCATCCCCAACCTGTCTAATAGCAACTAATTATAAATTGTTCCTTAAAAAATAAAAGATATGTTTGATTGTCCCTATGCTGATCTGGTTTTTAACCTGGGTAAAGGCATAAATAAAGGGGAAATAACTAATTAAAACCCAGTATTATTATTAAATAGTGAAACTTTAAATATATTTTAAGTTATTCTAATTTATACTTTATATATATTTTAAGTTATATAACGATTTTGAATAATGTATCTTATTTCAAATATGAGTGTATGCAGCGCTTGAAATAGTTTTTCAAAGCTTGCCAATCAAATGTAATTTTTTCACAAAAACAGGTTAATTTTCTTTGAATTTTTCGAAATTTCCCTAAACTTTTCGAAATTTGCAATACTGATGAATGGCAACACTCTTACTGAGTCCTTTTATTTACTTCTCAGATAGTTCAGAAAAACTTCCTGTTTTTATGTTTTCCTGAATCACAAAATTTACAACTTTGTTTTTGAAGTCTTCTGTTAATCGTTTACTTTCTCTTTAATCCACATTTTCTATTTTTATTAACCCCTAATTTAAAGTGTATAAAGTTCCAAATTTAAAGTAAAACAGGTAATAGTTCCAAATGTGCCAACATAATTGATTTCATCTACCCAAACCAAGCCTAATATTATAAATTATGCTGAAAAGAGCATCTAATACTAAATCAAATCAAAATCAAATCAATATAGTTTTACTTTGATAATAACTGTATTTTAAATTTAGAAAATATGATATGAAAATAACAAACTCTTTAAAAATTATCATGGTAACAAAATAACATACCTCAACCGGTACAATCAATTTTTTTTCAGATTCAGCCAAAACACATGAAACATATGGGTCACATAATTTGTTGAATAAACTGGAAAACATGGCAAATTAAACTAAAAAAAAACAAAATAAAATTCATTTATAAAAACTTTACAAAAAGTATTTATTTCTAAAGATTTTATTTAAATTTTCAAAACTAATATTGTATAAAACCCTTGTTTTTTGCAAAATCAATAAATATCAAAAAAATATCAAAATCAAAGGTTGACGGAACTATTTGTTTGATATACATATTTGTTTGTATAACATTATATTGAAATATATAGTAGGCAATATATTATATGGTTACCATATAATATATAATATAAATAGGTAATATATATAATTCAATTTATATAATATGGCAATATAATATAACAATACAATATAACAAGATAAACAATATGTATATATATATATATATATATATATATATATATATATATATATATATATATATATATATTTATATATATATATATATATATATTGCCTATTTTTTATTTACAGTACAATTACAATAACATTTTAAATGAAAAAAAAGTCACATCATGAGACTAAATAACTATAGTATATATATATATATATATATATATATATATATATATATATATATATATATATATATATATATATATATATATATATATTATATATATATATATATATATATTTATATATATATATATATATATATATATATATATATATATATATATATATATATATATATATATATATATATATATATATATATATATATATATATATATTGCCTATTTTTTATTTACAGTACAATTACAATAACATTTTAAATGAAAAAAAATCACATCATGAGACTAAATAACTATAGTATATATATATATATATATATATATATATATATATATATATATATATATATATATATATATATATATATATATATATATATATATATATATATATATATATATATATATTTATATATAAATATGGATATATTATATATATATATATATATATATATATATATATATATATATATATATATATATATATATATATATATATATATATACATATATATATATATATATATATATATATATATATATATATATATTTACACAATTTTAAAATGTATTCTACAAAATAGAATGCTCAAAGTTCTTAAAAGAACAGAGCAATTATATATATATATATATATATATATATATATATATATATATATATATATATATATATATATATATATATATATATTAGCTTGTCTTATGACATTTTTAAACACATGCGAGCATGTAAATATGTGCTTGTTATGGAGTGATATATTTAATTAAGAAGTTAATAAAGGCAGTTACAAATGATAGGCTTTAATAAGGAAAAAATATAAATTTTAAATACAAATTGAAAAAATTATTTCTTATTAACTACTAAAAATGCCAAGTCTTAAAACGTAAATACGGGGGTTTCAACTATGGTTTTTTAACTTTTTCATTTTTTTTTTATTGTTCATTATAAGCTTATTATGAGTGAGGTTGTAATAAATTTTTTTTATAAGGTTCCTTGCGGCAAGAAAACAGAAAATACTTTTTTTAGTGGGTCAGGATAACAAGATCAATTTTTGCTATGTCTTATAACATCTGTCCAACAAAATCTAAAATTTCATTGATGTCTAATAACATGTGTAAAAAGTATATGATTACTACAGATGTAGTTATATCTGTTTATTTATCAAGTATAAAAATATCTTTGCAACTACATCTGGAAACTTTACAGATGTAGTTACATCTTTTCAATTATGTTAAGAATAACTAAATCTGTACAACTACATCTGTGAATTCTACAGATGTACATCTTTTCAATTATCTTAAATATACAGGATCTTATGAAATAATTAAATTATAATGCATTAATTTAATCAGATGTAGTTACATAAATGGTTTTTATTGATGTAGTCATATCTGGATAAAATTATTAAATAATAATGCATCATTTTAACCAGATGTAGTTTCATATAGGATTTTTTTTTCAAATGTAGTTAAATCTGAAAAAAATAATAAATATAAATGCATTACTCTAACCAGATGTAATTACATATGAGATTTTTTTTAGATGTAATTACATCTGGAGGAAATTCTTCCAGATGTTATTAGACTTTAAGAAAAATTACCAGATGTAGTTATATTTTCCTAAAGATGTTGTTAGAGGTCATTGAATTTCCAGATGATATTGGACAGATGTTGTTGGAGTAAAAAAAATACGGATGACCTTAGAAAAAAGTGTACAGATGATTTTGGACTACTCTACAGATGATATTGGACAGATTTAGTAACTTTTACCTTTTTAGTCATCAATTGATTTTTCTTTAATAAACCAATTCAAATGAAATTTTAGTTAGATTTTTGTGTGAGTTAACAAACATTTTATAATGAGCTAATAATATAAGTTTATATAAACTATGTAAATATATTATACATCAAACACATATAAGTTATATGTGTTAGGTGTATAATAAATTTATATATATATTTTAATTGGTTACAATATCTATAGAATGTGTTAATTGTACCCATTGGGCCACATTGATCTTTGACTACGCGGGGCTCTTCGATCGGAAGATCAAAGTGCCACATATAAGACTTAACATTTTTCAGTTTAAATTTTATTCAATTAAACAAATGACATGTAGGAAAAAATAAGGCATGATCGCGAACGTTTTGAAAACCTTGAGCCATTGCTAAACTATTGGTGATGTAGCTATAAAACTTTTTCAGTGTGTTTTTTTTTTATCATGACGATTCATAGCCTGCACGAATTTTCAGTTAGCAAATTGCAATTTTTATTCCAAAAATTGCAATAAAAATTAAAATGTAAAATTCATAAAATTGTCATCTAGTCACGAGGCGAGAGCTACTTATGCGTTTTCTGCCTCCAATTTTACAAAATTTCAAAAAACTACGTAAATAAACTACTTAAACTTAAGTAACACAAAATAAAGATGCGTCGCAAAAAAATATTTCTAAATAATTTACACCCAATATACACCCTTCATAAAACCGAGATTTTTTTTAACACAAAAAATAAACGCGTATAAAATTACGTTAGTAATATTTAAAAAAAGCAATTGATGTTTTAAAATACAAAATGTTAATACAAATTCATTTCCACCCATTTTAAAATTTTGTTTTGAGTTGCATCATGCCTCATTCACCATTTTGCCCCGTTTTTTCTTTCATATGATGAATTAAAATTTATATGTAACAAATAATATCTTTCAACGTTCCAATTTTAAAATGTAGTGTTAAAAACTAATGTTTTTAACACTAATGTAAAATACTTTTAATGTAAAATACTTTTTTAAAAATATAATTTACTTTTAACTTTTAGATATATATTTTAACTTTTTTTTTTTTAATTTTCAGATCTCAAGATATGCTTGGGTATTAAAAAAAAATTAAAAAAAAACAACAGATAGAGTTGCTTTACTGTGTGATTAAATGAAAGCGGCTATTAATGAATTTTTAGAGGGGAGAAGTTTGAATGTTGTAGCCCAGCACTTGAATGTTGTAGCCCAACACAAACAAACTTTTACCGCATAATTTATTAGAATTTAATAAATGCTATTACTTGCATAAAAAATGAACTATGGTCTTTTAACTCAACACAGTAAGTCAACACCAGGCCAGTAGCAACCGGGGGAGAAGACAGCAGGGGCATTTGATCTCCCCACCCCCAATAATTTTTCAAATAAACGATTAAGACATATCGGGGCCCGGAGCTATAGTTTTTTTTGGAGAAAGCAACAATTGAACAATATTACAAGATTTTTGTGTTAATGAAAAACAAGCCATTTTACTATAATTCTACTTCATTCGGTTTTTAACATTACAAATATAAAACGTATTCAAAAATAAAATCGTGATTTATTGCCAATATGAACGAAAAACTTTCATCTTAACAATATATGTTTTCGAATAAGTGTATTGATACAAATAATTAATAAAACAGGTCGCGTGAATGTTCGCGCATGCTGGCGTGTGTGCGTATCAAACAACTTAAGCAAATGCTTTTCTCCATTGAATAGTTTAACTGCCAGTTGCGGCAACGCGATGCCTTGACTGATTGATTGAATTCACTGAACTAAAATGATAATCCTATTCGAATGATTTTACCTATGAAAACATGCAACGGTTAATAATGACATTACAGTTGTGAGAGAGATAATGACGGATTGAAGATATTGTTCAATATTGAGATTGTTGATAAATAATTGCAATAATAGTAAGAAAATATTAATGAAACAATGATAAAACCAATGACTCAAAGTATTCGTTAGGCCATTAATATCTTTTCATTTTATTTATTTTTTTTGACTTTATTACTTATTTAGAGTTGTGAAATTAGAAGAATGTCTTTGAATCCTTTTTTAAATGCTAAATTTGAAAACAAGTTATTTTAGTCAATGAAAATTTCAAACTCTTCTAGACAAGTTTTGCGACATTGGTTAGTAAGCTTACTTAGCCTCCTTATAAGTCCTTATAAAGCCTCCTTATAAGTAGGCGTGAACTTCCTATTAAATGCTCATCCGCAGTGCTCTGTGATAAGACCGGATGGACACCTAGAAAAAATTTATTAAAAAAAACGATAGTTTTTGATTTTTTTCGTTTAAATTCTATATAATATTTATTATATACTACATTACACATAAGATTATATATGAAATTATATAGTACTTATATACTTAAAAACGATTGACATATTGAAAAAGCTTATTAAATTAATAAATGCTTGTTTGGACTATAAAGACGCGTTACCATAACAACTTGAAAAATCCTAATCAATACGTGATCGAAACAGTTTGTTCTGCTAACAGAATTCAGATAATAATGGACTAGAATGCCATACAGCTTTAGTTTCCAATACTAATTAATTTTTTATCTAAAATATGCAAAAATCTATTTAACAAATGGATACTGGTAGCTTTGTTTGTATTACGATTAGATTTAGATGCTTTGAAAAAAGTGGCAACGTGGGGGATCTAAAAAATAGATTAAAAAAAATAAAAAACTGATGTTTTTATTTTTTAAGCAAAAACAAACTTGTACCACGTAAAAATATATCAAACTTAAATTGTTATACATATATAACAATTTATATTTTTAAACTATAAATAAACTTTAAAAAATAAATAACGATATGTAATTTTTTTTTTTTTTTATGTTAGTTTCTTTTATAAGAAGTATTGCAATGTGTTTAATAGCAAAGCTCCTTTGTTCATTGTTTGAGCAAATATCAATGGATTTCGCTGTTGTTTACTAATACTCGAAGTCGTATAAATCTGAGAAGTGTAAATAAATCTCGTTAAGGAAGTCATTAAAAAGTTTACATCGCGTCTGATTATTTAGTTTTGACTTAAATGAATAAAAATTACTATTTTGAGAAAAAGTCGCGACTTCCACAAGTTTTTTTTTTAAATACTTAGTAATGACGTAGCTTTGGTAGAATTATCGTATATTTTATTTTATTTGAAATTGAAACAAGTTTCTGATCACGGTAAAATTCTAAAGCTTCCAATCAGAGCGTTTTTTACCAGATATCAATTTTAAAATCTTCATCGTAGAATGTTTTTTCACATCATAAATCGTCCAATCAGGATTATTATTTTTAGATATTAGCATTTAATTAACGATTAAGAAGGTATTAAAACGTAAGAAAACATTTGGCTAGGTCAATACATTTTATTAAAAGAGAATTTTAGACTATCAACGTTGATTGGAGAAGATATTTTTTGTTTGAATATTGCAACACTCAATAATTGTATATTATATATTTATTATAATAACTAAATTGTGCGTATCTTTGTGATCAACATTTAAAAGTTTAATACTTTTGTTGTTTACAGAGATAAAAGATGGATGAGTGCAAAAAGACGGGAACAACGCTAAGAAAAATCGGTGATAACTTTGAACGAAAAGCAACGTGTAATAATAGCACACCTCAAACACCGCAATACCAAAAACAAACTTCCTTAAACTCAAGCTTGAATGGAATAAAATATTGATAGTTGAAAACAAAAAAGATACTTGAGAAAACTTTTTAACGACTATTTGTAGATTTTGGTATAAAAACTTTGTAAATATGTCAATAGTGTGAAGAGTATGTAAATATAATCTATAACTGTAAATTCAAGTTATTATATTTCTAAAAGCCAAAATATAAAATTATTAATTTTTTTAAATTTTTCACACTTGCGGTATGTTGTTTCAAAATTAAAACATGTTTCAAGACTATAAAAAATGATGCCATAAAAAATGTTATTTTTTCGCTAACAAATAAAGGTTATCGCGATGTCATAAATTTTAGTCAGAAGCGAAAGCCATTAATTTACTGAGTGATTTGCAATAGAGTTTGAAATCTAAGTTATTGTTCAATCAAATGAAAAGTAAAATAAGAAGATCTGGTTAATTACTTTTCTAACGTTGAACGAAAAGTTGTTTTTATGTGAAGGTACAATTTGTGGGCAGAGGCGATTTTACGGGGGTGTTCTATCCCCCTTAAAATGGTGATTTTCAATTTATAGTCGGTTTAGTAAGTTAGTCGGGTATTAAATGCCATTCAGTCGGGTGAGTTTTAGTTTTGAGAACCTTTTTTTTTTTTAAAGAACCAGTCGGTACTTTTTAAAGATTTACCCCCTTCATTTTATTCGTAAAATTGCGGGCATCGGCAATCCGATTATCCTTTTTTAAAAACAAAATTTACAAATTCATATTAGCAATTTATTTAAAAGGTATAAAAACATTACAACAATATTAACAAAGTACATAACTAAGTGTGCAGACATAATGCAACTAACTTAGTTTCATTAACAAATTCAAAAATATGATAATTGAAAATGAGTATTATTAATATATACAAATATATACACATATTTACATCATTAAAGTAGGTTTTTACAAAATAAAATAGTTTATTATATATCAACAAGAGATAAAAAGTCAAACAAAAGTTGTTTATTCATGAAAGATATAATATCTGATTTTAAACCGGAAATTTAATGTTGCTTAATGTTTAAATGAAATTATTTTTCGTAAACAAAATATTAACTAAAGAAAATGTTTTTAAAAGTTAACTTGAGCATAACAAAATTTTCTCCTTATTATCATTGACGTTACTGAAAATATTATAAGCTTTCAAACTGATGTTGATTTTAAGCGAACGTCTCTCATTTTTGGCTGCAAGCTAATGCAAGGTTCACTCATCAAACGCGATCTTAGATTGTTATTGATGTTTTTTTGATTAAATGCTTCAGCGGTCATTTGTAACTTATCTCCTTGATTTCGAAGAAATGCACCAGCGTTAAGTTTACTATCCATATCTGAATTTATTTTATTAACTGTGTCAAACTTTTTCTACAATGCGGATATTAATTATATGTGGTCTAATATTGAAGTCACGTGTATTTAAATTGTTTTTTTTACTATCAACAAGAAGCAATATAAAATAATTTGTTTGCGCAATAAGAATTTTCTCGAGTTTAAACTTTAAATTTTTGAATTCAAACTGAGCAGTTCAACGTCATTTCAGACCAAAAAAATCTAAAATATCGCTAAAAAATACTTAATTTTCAGAATTCTGAGAAAACTTATCACAATTAAATAAAGCTAAAAGTTTAAACTTTTGTTTGTAGTGGTTCTGGAAATAATCCTCGCAAAGTTTATTTACTAAAATAAGAAAATTGATAAAAATAGGAAAAAAATATTTTCCTATTTTTATCAATACCTATATAAATTTTATGTCTGATAGAGGACTGTTGGTTTTTTTAGTTTTAATGTTGATAGTTAGAGTTTACTCCATTGTTGTCTGTGTAAAAGTCTACGAGCATTTGATAAACGAAGCAAAATATTTTTCAATTATTATTATAATATATATATATATATATATATATATATATATATATATATATATATATATATATATCTTAAAATTACATTTTTTGTTCTTTTAGCACTAAAAATTAACAATAACAAAATTAGTAGCAATAACATTGCAGCCGAGGCGCAGTGGTCATAGTTACGGCTAAGAACCAAGAGAGCCAAGTTCGATGCAGACTCCGGCCAGAAATGACATTGGTAAGGAAGAAGGTGTAAATATACTGATTAAATGCTTTTCAACGGAACTCTGTGATAAGACTGTTAGGTCTTCTTTGAGCACTATTATTAAAACACAAAAAAAATGTTTTAAATTTACCAATTACCAAATTCATTTTATTAAAAACTTTTTAGTTATGTTATTATTAATTTATTTAAAAAAATCTACTGTGCTATATTTCCTAGCATTGTTAATAATTATATAATGAAATGTTTTATTATTTTTTAAATTAAAAAAAAAATTCATTGAAAATGATGTAAATAAAAACCTTTTTGCCTATGCAAAATTAAAAATTAAGTGAAAAAAATAATCCATGCAGTGCATCAGTGGAGAAGTTTCAAGACAACATGACACCCATTTCGAACTTTTTTAAAATTAAATTGTTTTCCGTATATTTGTACAACTACCTAGTGTTTACAAGTTTTAATAAAAAAGAATTAAAAAAATGAGAATATAATGAAATGATAATGTTCATTCTTTTGTTCTTAATTAATAATTGAATGAATATTATGCAAATATTTTTTAATTATGTTGTAAAGAAACTTTAATAAAAAATTTTTTCTTTTTGATAAACTATTAAATTTTCGGCCGCGTAATCATATTTTTTTCTTCTACTTTTGAGGATAAAACTCTCGGAAGGGAAATTCGCTATCAGTGAACTTAAAATGTATTTTTTTGTAACCAGTGAATCTTTCTTTTTTGTAACCAGTGAATCAGTGAATTCGTATGAATTTTAAACTGAGTTTTATCAAATCCATTCTAATATAAAATTTACATTAAAAAAACATGCACCCAAAAAAGAAAAAACCATACACCAATAAGAAAAAACCATTGGTCAATCTTATCTGTTTTCTGTCGGTACACCCGAAAGAGATTGATAAAAGCTTTATATCAACTGTTGAAGTTATAAGTTGAGTACCAAATCTTTTGGCAATACTTCATCTCTTAAAGACGTTTCTTTCAAACAAGCAAAGTCTTTTAACACAATGCAAATTCAACAAAACATTTGTGGAATTTTAATAAATTTAGCTTTTTTAGTAAATAAGACAAGCGCATGGTAATTAAGGCAATTGCAGACAATAATTTAAAAAATTAAAAAAACGGTTTAAAATTGCATAAATGCTGATGGTAATTGTTTTGCTCCATACACCATTTTTAAATCTGTCCAAAGGTTGATGGTTATGTAGTCCAGACGATGCCTAGCAATTTACAAAATACTCTCGCCCCCCCCCCCCTCTCCGTTACTAGATGATCTGGATCCGCCTCTCCAATAATCTTGATTATCAATCTCCTTATTCAGTGGTGCTTTGATATAAAGGTCATCAAAAAAGAAATTATAGTTTTCAATTGTTTAATTGCTACAGAAAATATCATATTTCATAGACTCGCTTTTAGGTGCATTAAAATCAAAGGAAAGGAAGTTTACACCGACTATGTGCCATGAAATATCCATTTAAAAATTTTACTCAATGTTTACTTTTTTTTTCATTTTTAACTTAACAAAACTAATCTTAATACAATTGTTCAATATAAACTCAAAATAGAAAAAATTAGACTGATAGAAGATGGAAAACATAAAATTTAATAATTTAAAGATATCTAAAAATACCTAAGTTGTTAAAACAAATTTTTAAGTTTATTTAAGATTGTTCTGCTAAAATCTATTCATTAAAATTTGTATAAAATAAAAAATAAAATTTACCATAGTTACAATAATAGAAATACATCTTGTGAATGAAAAAATAAGCAAATTTTTTAAATGTAAATAAAAACAATGAATGAATAGTTAAACGTTAATAAAATTTGACTTCATATTTTGTAAACTGTTGAAATAATTTGTCATTACAACGATTCTTTTGTTTATCGAGCAAAAATGATAAGCAACATAGGTATAAAGAACACATATACACATACTCGCACTCTGGAAAATCGGTTAATAAAAATTTTACTAAAAATTTACGAAGATTTTTTGTTTTCGATATTAAAAAGCAATCAGATGAAGAGTATGTTATCAGTTAAAAAGAGAAAGAAATAAATATATCCTAAATAATAAGAGTTTAACGCTAAAATTTTTTATTTGTTTTTATTTAATTTTTCTTTGATTTATCTAATTAAGATCAAAATCACAGTGTATGCATAAAATCTAACACTGGAATAAAAAAAAAATCAGTTTCAATAAAAAATAAAAAAAATCCATAAAGTTTATTAAATTTATATGTTTAAAATTCTAACTTAGACATCTATAATCATTTTTAATAAATTATTCATTTCGATTGCAGTCGTTGAATTGTTCATAAAACCAAATTTTCGATAAGAAAAACATTCTTATTCAAGTTTTCATGTTCGATTAATTATTAATAAACAAAACCGATGTATAACATCTTTCTGACACTCTGTACAGTGATTTTTAGTTGTTTTTAAATCTACTTTTATATATATATATATATATTTTTTTTTAAATTTCAAATTCTAAGATAAATTTTCTTATTTATAGAAGTTGCGTGCCTAATATCCTCATTTTTATTGGTTTTTTTTTTTAAAATAATTTTTTTTTCAGTTTTTATTTAGTTTTATTCAGTTTATTACAAATATAGTTTTTTATTAAAATTTATTTGAAACTTTTTTTTATTAAAAAATTGTTAGCAAATTTATAATACCTATTTCAAAATTATTTTGTAAAATTTTTTATTTTTTGTCGTTGGAACATAATTTAATTTCGAAACATCAAAAAATCTTATATAGAGTACTTTAAATAATAGATACAAATGTTCATTTGAAATCATCGGTAATAACAATAAACCGGTTTTAATAAATCATTCTATGCTATATTCTAGATGACAATACAAGTATTATAAAAATATTAAAATAATTCCAAAATTTTACAAGCAATTTTGTAAATAATAGAGGAAATAAATAAAGCTGAATTTAAGAAAAAGAAGAAGACAATAGTATTATCCGTTTTTCCTACAACGTAAACGTTTGTGACAGCGTTAACGCAGAAATGTTCCAAATAACACAGAAATCCTCCAACCTGAGAGTGTTATTGATATTTCATGTTTTTCTTCTGGTCAAATGTAAGAAGCCCATAAATCAAGATCGACAAAAGCTCGTGCTGTGATATCCGCATACTTTTACTTGTATCAAGTACTCGCATACCTGTTGGCACATCTGGTATGATGTACTAATAGGTATTCAAGTATTTTACAGGAACGTAGTAGACAGTTTTACGAAATCAAATAAGTGCATTAAGGCGTGTCCGTACCAGCTTTTATGCATTGAATTATTCAAAAATTTCACTCCAAGTGTTTTGTAACTGCCAAAATGTTGAATAACAGCCTATTATCTAAATTTAAAAAAAAACTGTGAAATAGTTAACGTATTTTAAAGTGAATTTCAGTATTCCGATATTTGAGTGCAGTTTTTTACTACAGCTTACGAAAAAGGAGCGATTAATGCAGTAGGAAACGGTTAATGCAGTAGCTTGATAAAAAGGAAAAGGTAAAGAGATAACAAGAATAATAACAGCAATATCATTAATATTAACAAGAATGATAATTGTTGTTGTAGCTGTTGTTGTTATTCTCATTATTATTATTGTTATTATTATTATTATTACTATTATTATTATTATTATTATTATTATTGCTATTATTATTATTATTATTATTATTATTATTATTATTATTATTATTATTATTATTATTGTTATATAATTGTATACAGTGGCGTAGGAAGGTCAAAAAATTTGGGATGGCTAAAATGGAATTAAGAGGGCTAAGGCAACCACAATCAGAGTTTGAATAGAAAAACTGAAACTTTTAGAAAGTTGGGGGTGTATATATATATATATATATATATATATATATATATATATATATATATATATATATAAGGCCGGCGCGAAGGGGTGTGTGGGGGTGTAACACCCCCCCCCCCCCATCAAAGATTTTTAGTCGGCAAATTTGACCCTTTTCGACTAGTTAGTCGGCAAATCGCGAGGTTAGAATTACTTTGTTCTATCTCCACTTTTTGAAAAAAATGAGTTATTAATTGTGTAATGTACCTCAAAATAATGTTTTTCTACTATATTAAAATCTAAGTTAAAATCAAAAAAGTTTCGGAGAAAACATAAGTAATAAAAATCTTTTTATATGCCGTCTCCTAAAGTTTTTATTTTTTAAATCGTTTTATCTCGAAACAAAAAAATGTGGAGATAGAACAAAATAATTCTAACCTCGCGAAATTTTGACCCTTTTGATATAGGATAGTCGGTAGTGTAAACAGTTCGTCGGCAAATGTCGTCATGGCAGTCGGCAAATTTTCGAAAACAAGAACTTTTTTTTTTTTTTTAGTCGGCAAAAGTGATAATGGCACCCCCCCCCACGTGACACCTACTCGCGCCGGCCCTGTATTTGTATATATATATATATACACATGTATTAATAATTATGTAATAATGTATAATATGTAAATACGCGTATTATAATATTTTAGAGCATAACATTATTATAGCATTCCAAAATTTAATTCCAAATTCGTTTTTTAAGCTTCTCAAAAATGTTGTATTTTTTTGCCGTTCTAGAATTTGACACAAAGTTCAGTAGTGAAAAAAGAAAAAGACACAAAAAAAATTTTCAAGTTTTAACTAGATTACTGCTAAATTATATTTTTATAAAAATATAATTTTTTTCTATTGTTATAAACTATTTTTTTTTTAAAACAGTTGCATCAGATTTAAATTTTTTGAATTTAATTTGTATCAGAACAAAAAAATAAGAATTTTATGATCAAAAAAATATAATCAAAAAAATATGATCAAAAAATCATGTTGATATAACTCATCAACTTAGCAAATTTACTGGCAATGCGTAACACATAACTTATTCGCAAATTTGTTAATCTGTTGAGAGAATACATTTTACATAATCGATATCACAAGTGCGCGCACAAAGTTTTCAGAACTGTAAAATGGTCTATAGTTTAAGAAGTTCAAACAAAAACTATTCACAAAGTATTTTGTGATCTAATATGATTCGTTTAAATTATTCAAGATGGAAAAGAAACTGCTTAAGAATAACTCAGCGGATTCTTTTCGGCTGAGACCATTTTAATCAAATTCTGTTTTTGACGAAATTTGAAAAAATATGTTAAACCTTGTAAACAATTTGGTTCAAAAAAAATGGATTTAAAAACGAAAAAAAAAATGGTTTAATCAACTCGTCGTTTACAGCTCGACAGATGTTTACTTTTTACACGATTCAAAACGTTTAATGCCTATTTTTTTTTATCTAATCAACTTATTTTTTTTTTCTATTATTTTTAATTTTTCGTTTTTTTTGTTGTTGTTGTTGTTTTTACCATTTTACAGTTTGTTGTTTGTTTATCATATTTTTTGTTACGCTAATAAGCGTTAAACGAATATTATTTCCTTATCCCTATTTTGGTTAAAAATCCACTTTTAAAAATGTTTTCCGTACAACTGGTTGTGGCTACAAACAATGACTCATTTTGGTTTGTTTTTTTACAAATAAAAGATATTCCGATTTTTCTGAAATTTCAAAATGTTTTTCTTTTTGCGTCACATAATTTTTGTAAAAAGGATTGCTATTTTAAACATTCTCGCTTAAGACATTCAAAGCGGCAAAGATGCGAATGTGAACACAAAGGAGGCAAATGTGAGTATAAATGTCATTAATTTGTTATTGTTTTTTTGTTTCTTAGAAGTAGAGAAATATTCCTTTGATAAGTCTGATTACCGACAATTGAGACGACATATGGCCTTAAAAAAGTATTTAGTAATTAGTTAATAGTCGATGTCAATAAAAAAAAGTTCACAAATAATTTATTAAAGAGTTGAACTATTAACAATTAGAAACAATTGGAAACAATTTGAAAGCTTGCATTATATGAATAAACGACTCTTGGAAAAGAAAATAAACACCGCATAAAGATCTGTGGTATCATTTTCAAAGCATTAATAGTATGGTACTATTAAAGCAGCAAAATATTAGGACAGCCCTTCTTATTCTATCAACCACTATTTACATGTTGCTAGGAGCCGCTGTGTTTAGTGCGCTTGAGAATGAGACGCATCAAGAACAAAAAAAAAACTATTTTAAAACTTACAATAGAATCAAAGATACGTACAACATGTCTTTTCAAGATATAGAAGATTTGGCAGAATATATATACAAGCGAAGAAGCATAAACTGGGCTTTGGAACCTTGGAGTTACGCCGGCTCCGTATACTTTACTTCGGTTACTATAACAACAATTGGTAAGTAAGCAATTTAAAAATTTCAAATTAAAGCTGCACGTAAATTTTTATATATAAAAAGTTCTTCCTATTTTTTTTGGGTTTTAAAATGTGAATTACTTTTGTTCATGAATAATTTAAAACATTAACAAGTAATTCATTAACAACCAAATAAAATGTTTTAATTTTACAAATAATCATGTTTTTTTTAGGATATGGACATTCAGTGCCGCAAACAGTAAGTGGACAAATATTTTGCATGTTATATGCTATAATTGGAATCCCTCTTAATTTGACAATGTTTCAAGCAATAGGTGAACGTATGGGTGTTTTAATGACATCGTTGTTGAGACGCTCAAAAAGAATTTTAGGAATTAAAAATAAAGATGTAACATTAATAGAACTTGTAGCGTTCGGTTTAATTATCTGGACTGTATTTTTATGTGGAGGAGCTGCCATGTTTTCCCGTTATGAACGTTGGGGGTTTTTCCGTTCTATGTACTATTTCTTTGTAACTCTGACAACAATAGGTTTTGGTGACTTTGTTGCTTTGCAAGATGTAAACAACCCAGGAACAAGAGGTTTTCAGTCAAAAACTCTTTATATTACTTCTACTTTAATAATGATATATGTTGGGTTAGCTATCGCCTCGTCTGTAATAAACTTACTTGTAATTAGACTCATGGAGCTTCAGCAGCCAAAACGAAGAAAAAAAAATTTATCGTGGAAAAGTGGACCGCGCTGCGACAAATGTCGAAGCACTAACGGAGGATGTAAAAGTCAAGAAAACGTTAACTTGATCGAAAACCATGCAGTTACTATTTTAAATAACTTTGAAGACGAGTTAGTTTTTAGATCATACAAACAATTGCGTAACAAAACTGTTTCCTGATATTTTAGGATTTTGATAGAATTACGTGTACATATATTAAGCCGTTTTTAGGCTCTTAAAATTTTATAACGCATTATACTATTTATTATTATATATACTTGTTTATTCGTTTCATTATTATTTATACTTGTTAATTTGTTTCATTATTATGTAATCTTTATTCAGAACTTCTGAAATCATTTTAAGAGAAACTTGGATTTGCGAGTGATTTCACAAATCAAAAAATTTGAAGTTTGTGATTTTCCTTATCCAAGTTTTTATAACGAATTACTAAAAATTAGTATTTATACAATTATTGTTTACATCAGAAGCTTTATAAAGACAATCATATAAAACAAGAACTAAGATATCTTATTCAATTATTGAGTTTAGGTATAAAGGCGGGGTACGTGTAAAGTCCTACGCATATAGGCGGGTTAGGTATGAAGTGGGTGGTTTAAATGTAATGCGATTAGATGAGATATAAATAATCTCGTATCCATAAATAAAAAGGAGGTGAAAGTAAACCATCCTAACAAAAAGTAAAACTGTATATGTTTGTTTTTGATTTTTTTAATTTAAAGCCATATTTTTTTAAAACAAAATTAATAATACATAAAAAAAAAATATTTGAAATGAGATTTTGTAGTGGATTTTATTTTCATTAATAAATTCAAAATTTGTGATATTCAAACCAATATTTAAATTTTTTATCAAATAAAAAGATATATAAAAAGTTTACAAAAAGACCTGTCCTATTGATAAAATTGAATTATGAAGCTGTCTTGATGAACGTCTTGTAAAATAATAAATTTGCGCAACATGTTTTATACAAACTGGCATTCTTTTTAGATTGTCTTGTATTTTTTATTTCAAATTTTTTATAATGCAAATTTATTTTAATATGACGTACAGCTATATCTTTTTGTTCAATTTTACATATAACAACGCACAATAAGAATATTCCATTGAAATTGGTGTCCAAGTAGATAAACTGTTGCATTTATGCGGATATTAAGTCTGAGTATATAAGTAGGATATTAAGTAAATGAGTAATATAGTGACTTATAATACTTTTTATTTGTACCTTTAAACGAGGTTAAGGATGCAGCAAGGGAGGGCATAGATGCACTTATGAAAGTTTCAAATTAACACTTTGTAAGTATGTTCATTCTTAAATCAAATGAGAATGAGAAATTATTGCTATGATTAGGTTTTAACTTTAATTGAATGATTCTTAATTGTTTAAAAATTATGACATTGGAAAGTTTACAACCTCTTTGGGGGGACGGTAAAAGCTTATAAAGTCATATCTTTCGAACTCTAACAGATAAATAGGTAAAAATTAAAATCTATCAATGAATTTAAATTTACTACAAAATAGTAAAAAAAAAAATGTTTATTAATTCATTCCTCTGGAATTTTTAGTTTATATTATTAGAAAAAAGGGGTAAAATGAGGTAAAATGATGCATCAATTATCATACTAAAGACTTCAAATATTCATAATAATAATTATATAATATGATTATGAATATATAATATAATATATTCATAATCATAAATTAATTTTTTACTCAATAAATATTATTCTTTTAAACCATTTTTTACTTGAATTCTAGTTTTTGTTTTAATTCTATATAAAATATGTAGAATAAATTCAAAAAACCAAGCATGTAGTTGTGTAATGTCATAGCACAGTGCCTGACTATCTGTAACAAATCCTTCCTTAAACATTTTTATATAGCTTATCATGTTTGATGTGGCATGACAAATCGAACAGCATTGTATCGAAGAAGTGTTGTACACTAAGTTTGTCTCATTAATCATTGAAAAAGACAAAACTATAGTTGATCAAAACATGTTTATTAAATATGTTATATATTTAAGAAATTAAACTTTAGCAGTATATATATATATATATATATATATATATATATATATATATATATATATATATATATATATATATATATATATATATATATATATATATATATAATAATAATAATAATAACAATTAGAGACAATAGTGGTTTAGTAAATCAGAAGCACTAAACAAGTAAACTATGAGTCTGAAAAAGAGTTCATAAAAAGTTCATGTTAACTGATATTTTATAGATTATTCTTCGATGTATTGGTAACCAATGAAGAGATTTCAGCAAAATTTCTGATTTTAAATAGAAAGGAAAATGGAAAACAATACAAGATAAGATATTTTGAATTCGTTTGAGTTTTGAAAGATTTTTTTGGTAAGTGCCAGATAAAAGGCTGTTACAATAGTCAAGCTGAGAGTTAACGATGCCACAAGCAATTATGTTTGCGGCTTCTTTGGTCAGACATGGACGAATGTGACGAAGTTCACGAATGCGTTAATTGAAGGATTTAATAATGTTGTTTATGTGCTTGTCCATAGAAAGCCTTGAATCTTTACTTCAAAGATTTTTACTGAATTTATTGCAGTTAGTGTGGTTGCAGAAAACGCAATATTCGAATCATTTTTACATTTGCTAGTTTTTTTTCTAGATCCAAATAAAATAGATTCTGTTTTATTTGGATTAGGCAGAAGTCCATTTTTTAGAAACCACTTTGTTACTGCATTAGCACACTCAGTGATTTTGTTGATGCTATCTTTGCCAGGGCTGAAGAAAGTATAAAGTTAGTATCAGCAGCATATTGATGGTGATTTGTGCCAAATTTAGTTATAACACGATATATAGGTGAAACAAAAATGGAAAATAAATAAATATATATATATATATATATATATATATATATATATATATATATATATATATATATATATATATATATATATATATATATATATATATATATTTGACTTGTGAGTAACTGGTGTGTTATACGACTTTTTTTTTATTTTGTAATAAGGACACCAAATAACGAAAGAATTAGTAAAAGTTATCAAAAAGGTTTTTTCATTGTTGGCCTTCGTAATTCATCACATCTTCAATACTAATACACTTCCAGATCAAGATTCAGATTTTTAATACCTATCAAGTTAATAAAAACCTTAGTATCTACAGAAAAAATAAAAAAAAAAAAAAAGCAAATACAAAAAATAACTGAATAAAATAAGTTATTTTAATTTTAAATTAATATCTGAGTTGATAAAAATTTTAAAATAAGAACACAAATAAATCTTTTAAACGCGGGCGTCGAACATGCTTTGAAAAAAGAACCACAGGTTTTTACTTTAAAATCTTAAAAATTAAATGAAATTCGATTCTAATGCAAATGGAATTTCGCTATGTCGTTCCTAAAATAATTAAGTTAACTTTCCTTACCGATGACGCGAAATATTTTGAAATAATAGAGATATATTGTTTTACATTGTAATCACTTTTACATAAATTGCATAGAGTAAGTGAGTAAAGTTCCTCAATCATAGTTAAATATATACAAAAAGCATACGGGTTACGCGTGTTTTTAATTTTGTATTAAATTATTTTTTTTTTAATTTTTTGAAAGGAATGAACCACTTTGAAAAAACATACAAGTAATACGCTGCAAATTTTAATATCTAGTTAATAATTGGTAGTAGTTAGTAATTGGTAGTAGTTAGTAATTGGTAGTAGTTAGTAAAAATCTGTAGTAATTATCTGAGTAACAGAAAGCAGTTCGTAATTAACAAAGAGTCAAGTGTTCTTGATATTGAGTGTGGGGTCCCTCAAGGTTCAATCTTAGGATCGTTATTGTTTTTAACTTACATCAATGATATGCATAAAGCATCATCTATAGTATCTTCAATAATGTATGCTGATGACACAAATTTATTTTATAATCATAGTAATTTAAAATAGATGTTCGAAACAATGAATGCCGAACTGGAAAAATTTAATTTATGGTTTAGTGCAAATAAACTATCCTTAAACTGTGAAAAAACTAACTACATTTTTCATAAAACAGGCCAATCAATGACTCTACCGTTAAAAGTTCCAGAATTGCTCATTAACAACGTAACAATAAAACAGGAAAAATATGCAAAGTTTCTTGGTGTTTATATTGATGAAAATTTATAATGGAGAAATCATATTAGACATATTGAAACAAAAATATCATTTGCAATAGGTATCTTATATAAATGTCGCCCGTTTCTTGATTTCTTTTCAAGAAAAAAACTTTACTTTAGTCTAATTCACAGTCATCTCACATATGCTAATATAATGTGGGCTAATACACACAAAACAAAATTAGTCAAACTACAAGGCTTGCAAAACCATGCTTGTATTATTCATCATATTCTTAGTTTGTAAAAATGATTATGATAAATTAAAAAAAAAAAAATTGTAAAAGTAAAAAAAATAAAAAATAAAAATATGTATGTGTATGTATGTATATATGTGTATGCATGTGTGTATGTGTGTACATATGTATATATACATATGTGTATATATATGTATGTATGTATATATATGTATGTGTATATATTTATGTATGTATGTATATGTATGTATATGTGTATGTGTATGTATATATATATATATATATATATATATATATATATATATATATATATATATATATATATATATATATATATATATATATGTCTGTGTGTATGTGTGTATATATATACATATGTATGTATGTGTATGTGTATATATATATATGTATGTCTGTGTGCGTATGTATGTATATATATATATATATGTGTGTGTATATATGTATGTGTGTATGTATGTATTATGTATGTATGTGTATATGTATATATATATATATATATATATATATATATATATATATATATATATATACATATATATATATATATATATATATATATATATATATATATATATATATATATATATACATATATATATATATATATATATATATATATATATATATATATATATATATATATATATATATATATATATATATATATATATATATATGTATATATATATATACACACACACACATAACTTTTTATACAGACAGTGATATACGCCAAATGGCGCTATTAAGGGAATCTGCGAAAAGATTTTTTTTGAGTTTTATACCCAAAAATGCTGAATCTTTTTTCATTTCCTTTTTTTAGGTATTAAAGTACAAAAAAAAAATGTACATATATATAATAGTTATTATACCAGAATT